CCCCCGCGCCCTCCCTGGCGTCTACCGCGTCAGCTGCCTCCCTGGCTTCCACCCTGGGCCTCCTGCTCAGCGGGCTGGGGGTGGCCAGCGCCAAGGAGCCCCCTGGCAAGGACAGCACCGACACGAAGCACCAACAGGTGGGGGCGGGCTGTCGGGCTGTCATGACATTTTTGTCTGGTTTTACGGGGGGTAGAGAGGAGTCCCAGGGCCGTGCTGCTGGGGTGGGAGTTGGTTAATTGCGCGGCGTGTGGGGTCGTCTGGTGCGGCGGGTGTTGACGGGTGGTGCGTTGGGTGCGAGTGACGGCGTGATGAGCGCCGGATCATGGGAGGGGTGGTGAGTTGCTGTTCATTTGCATTCGTGGAAGCTTCTGCTTTTGTGGATGCTCCGGCCGGCATGCGGGCCGAACGGTGTGCAGCATGTGGATGTGTGGGCGCATTTTGACAGGTATCAGCGGGAGCGGTGGTGAAGTAAGTGTCGATCAAGGCACCCCTGCCCGCCTGACTTCCCGACTGTCTGCGGCATTTAACCGAGTAGCTGGCTGCAACCTCGCGTTGTCGTTTCCTGCTCTATGGGCTATCGAGCAGCCCCAGGCTAGCCTTGGAATTAGCAAACTCCTGGGTGCTCCTTGCAATCTCAGGCTGCATTTGGAAGGCTGCATTTTGGCCTCCTCAACATTTTGCCAACGCAGCCTATCATCGCATACTATCCCAGTGTCTGCTCCCAGCAACATCAGCCCCTCCCCCCCCCAAAAAAAGTGACCCATAGAAACCCACCAAAACCACCGCGCCCTTCTCGTCATCACCTCCCATCTCAATCGCTGCGACGTCATCCACGTGTTGCACGACACTCTGCAGGAGGGCCGACCGGTGGAGTACCAGGCGCTGCGGCCGCCGCAAGACGCGGGTGGGTGTCGTGGATCGCGTGGCGTGTGTGGTTTCAAAAGGGGGTGGGGTGTTGAGAGCAAAAAGGCGCGCTGGACTTGTTATATCTTATCTGTGTGAGGGAGTTTTTGTGGTGATGTGCACGCAACGATGCTTCGCCCTGCGCCCATTTGCGCTGTCACCTTTGGACGTGGCTCGCGTTTCACCTTGCGTGCGTTCTCCTAGCTCACCCCCCCCCCATTACCTCGCATCCCCTCCCTTCAGAGCCAGCGCTGCCCAGGTCGGAGCGCGTGGGCAAGGCGTCGCAGCACGTGCCCCCGGGGCCGCAGCGGAGTGTTGAGGAGGCCAGGGACACTGTCAGGGGCGGGTCCGATCAGGACGACAGCCTGAGGGTGGGTGGACGACATTAGCGCGTGCGCGTGTGTTGATGTGTTTGCGTGTTTGGGGGTGGCGTTTGGGGTTTGGGGGGGTGCTTTCAGCTTCGAAAAGGTGGGGGCTGACCCACCCTCAGGCTGGTTCACGCGGGTGCATGCTATGGTCGACTTCCATAGAGTTGAGAGCACAAGTCAGCAGCAGGCTGCGCCCACCCGCCCTCCCGACCACCCCCACGCCACCCTTCCCGCATTCCCCGTGCACACACAGGAATCCCTGCGCCAGACCGCGCGCGACGCGGGCGATGTGCTGGCCGCGGCCCCCCAGGCCGCGGCGTCGGCGGCGTCGACCGCGGCGGAGATTGCGGGCGGGGTGGTGGAGCATGTGACAGGGCGCTCCAAGGAGGTGGGCATGTGTGGCGCGAGCGCCCAGGCCGGCCGGCCAACCCAGCATTTGGTCGTGTGCTGCGTGCAGCTTCTGCACGGCTTGGGATTTTTACTTGCGCAGAGCTTAGCATAGTTGGGTAGTTTGCCGCTTTGTTTGGCTGCTGCTTGCTTGGTGTACAATACAATACAGCTATCTGGTGTGGCGTGAACAACTGACCGCTCCCTTCTATGCATTCGCTTGTTCAACTGCCATTCACTTAGACAATTGCCCCATGCTCCATCAACCGCTGCTCGTCCAGGGCCTGAGCCCGCCCGACCCCTCGACTTCCTCCGGCGACCGCGACGCGTCGTCGACGCGCGCCGCCGCGGCCGCGAGCGTGCCGGGCGCGATGGGGGAGACGCACGCGGCGCAGCTGGAGCGGCTGGCTCAGGGGGGCAGGCGGCCCGCTCACGAGCGGGAGACGCTCACTGACAAGGTGGGGCTGGTGCGGCTGTGTGGGCCGAGGAGTGTCATATCCAGAGAATTGTATGTGTTTGTGGTCATGATTGCTGCGGGTTTATTGGGGTCATTCTGTTTGCAGCGCTGCGGGCTATCATAGAAGACCAGACTGGCGCCTTTCTTCTATGGGCGGAGCGGCAGTGCTGTGGGTCGAGGGCAATCCATGCGTTGTGGACAGTCTGGCAAGCGGCACGGTTGTTTTGAGTGACTAGGGGTGTGACAGGTGTTTGTGTGTACTGCCATTCTCCTTGCCACGTTCGCTCGACCTGCTTGCTGTCCGCTGGCCGATCCATTATTAGGGGTGTGCGACCGTGCCGCCCGCCGTGCTTGCGGGCGCTTCTCCTGGACCCCTGCCTAAAAATCCAATCATCTTGCGCTGCCCGCTCCCCTGATTTGCGCAAGTTCACTGGGGTTTGGTCCAAGCATGGCGCGCACTATTGCTCCTCCCGAGCTATCCTGCACAAACGCCCAGCCCACCCCTCCCCCCCACACACACACCCTACAGTCAAGCGCACTCCCTGAAAACTCCTCCTTACCGCCAGACGCGCAGCGATCCTGCGGCTTTCCCCCGTTGACGTGACTGCGTGTGATAATTCTCGTCACACCCGCCCACAGATCCTGGAGCCCATCACGCGCGACACGTTCGACGAGGAGCGCGCGAAGGAGCTTGCCACGTGAGCGCCGCGCCGCCGCCAGTGGCCGCCGCCTCGCTGCCTCCACCCACCGTCGTCCGGCCTGGTTGTGCGGGACGGCCCCCTCGACGCATCACCACACCCAAACTTTGCGAGCCCCGCGGGCGTTAGCTTGCGGAGTGATGCAGGTGTTTTGCCTCTAGAACATTCTCTTTCGACCCGTTTTCCTTGGAACTCCTCTCTTACCCCCTCCCGCGGGCTTCTACGCACCAAATCGGTCATCATCACTCTCAAAGGTCTTACAAGAACTACAAGGCGAAGCAGGCCCAGGGCGGCCAGGAGCAGGACACGGCCACGCCGCAGCCTGGGTGAGGGCCGTGTTGGGGCTGTTTTTTTTTGGAGGGTCGGTTGCTAGGGCTGGTTGGCGACAAGGGCTTTGGTTCATTGGGCAATAGGATGAAGCAGGTTGCCTTGCCCCCCTAATGCATTAGGGGGGCAAGGCAGGGGGGTCATGCCTCCTCAGGGGCTGACTGGAGGGGTTGACGGGGAGGGGAGGGGGTGTGCTTGAACGTGCGTGCGTCGTTTCAACGGCCGGCGGCCTGGCGCAAGCGTGCGGGTGGAGGTGACGCATGCTGCATAGCAGTCCAGACACCTCTTGGCTGCACGTGGCGCGCGGCTTGGTATGTTGCGTGCGGTGCGCAGTGCGGCACGTTGTGCGGTGCGCCGAGCGGCGAGCGGCGTGTGGCGCGTGTTGTAGGCTGCGGGGTGCGGGATGCATTTTGCGTTCTGTGGGTTGAGGGGTGCATCTGTAGCTGTCTTCAGGTGCTGCAACAGGCGATCCTGGACATTTTCGATTGCGCCGTCTGAGCCTCGGCCTGATACCCGAAGGTGGATCGCCCATCAAACCTCTTGGCACAGCACACCACACTGACGACTCCCCGCGGCTTGACGCACCCTCGCCCAACACGCGTCCCCTCTGGCCATACACCCCGTCCCCAGCCATTTCTGCTCCGGCTAGATCTAACCAGCGCCAATGGCTCTGCGCACCCCCCCCCCTTAGTCATCATCACTGCAACTGTCGCCCCCTCAGCCCCTTCCCGCTCACCTGCCCCCTCCCTCTCTAGTGGTGGTATTGACCAGCAGCCGGGCGACACGCATCGCGACAGCCATGGCAAGGTGAGGGGCAATCAGCTTTGCAGGCTGTTTGCGTGGAAGGGAGGGGATTAGATTGTGGCCTGGTGTGGGATCAGCTCATCATATCACTGTTTGTTGCGGCATGTAGGGGTGGTTTGTGCGGAAGATCGGGTGAGCAGGGCCTCCTGGGGGCTTGACTGCTGACCACCTCGCAAACAAGCCCCCAGGTGTGGCGTGCTTGGCTGCATTCCCGCGTGTCTACCCTCTAGATTCATTGCCTCAATGTTCCCACCGCCTATCAAGTATCGTCACTCACTGCTCACCGTTTTTTCTCCCCCGGAAATGTTGAATGTCCGCCTTGACCGTCCCTTCCCATTCCTTCCCGCCCTGCCCATCAACCACAATGCGCGTCACCGCGCCGCCCCAGGAACAGGCGGAGGGGCACCAGACGACGCTTGGGCAGGCGGTCGGCGAGGGCTTTGACGCGGTGGGGGGAGGCTGTGATTTTTCAAGGGGTTTGGCAGGGTTGCAACCAGTCTGATGGGAATGTCCCTGGGATGGTGGTGAAAGGAGGGCGGGGACGATTTGGCAAGTTTGACTGGGTTTGGGATGGGTCCTGTGATTCGCTTGAATTGAGAGCACCGGCTGTTGCTGTGGCTGACGGACACATTGGCAACAGCCTGCGCTTGTGGTGCAGGCACCTACAAGACAGACATGTGCAGCCTGCACGACAGCTAAGCCACACCCATCACCTTGGCCCTGATTGATAAAGCCATGCCCTTCCATTGTACAGGCCCTTTCTTCCAGCATGTGCTGATACTGCCTTCACAACTTTTACATCTTGCCCGCGTTCCCAACAGGTCAAGTCCCTGTTCCGCCGCCACGGCGACGAGCCCTCCCCGGCCGAGCAGGCGCGCGAGGCGGTCAGCAGCAAGGTCGATGACGTCAGCAAGAAGGCCGGCGACGCCGCTGCAGCGGCTGGCGACAAGCTGGAGGAGGTGGGCGGACGCGCGGACGACGTCGCGACCGACGCGGCCC